ATTCCTTACAGCTTTGGACAATAATCCATAAAAAAGGAATTCCTTATAATCCTAGAGGACAAGGCATTATAGAGCGGGCACATCAAACATTACAATGCATGTTGAAAAGAAAAAAAGGGGGTATAAGAGGACAACTACCACCTCAATCAAAACTATATTTAGCCTTATTTACTTTAAAATTTTTGGTTCCTGGTACAGATGGTAAGACTCCAGTGGAAAGACAATGACAAGTGTTAGAGACAAAGACAAAAATTTATCTGAAAGCGCTATGGAAATCCACAGAAGAAGGACAATAGAAAGGTCTGGTGGATTTACTGACATGGGGACAAGGGTATACTTGTGTTTTCACAGGAGATGGACAAACCGTGTGGGTGCCCTCAAGGTGCATGCAGCCATGGAATGGGATACTGGAGGAACCCAGGGTGGCCAACCATGGGCCCGGTCCCTCTGGTATGAGCCATGAGCCAGTTGAGCTTGAGTGCAAAGACGGAGAGAAGGACGACCAGAGTCACGAGGACATCAACCCCCATAACCTGGGGACAACTCAAGGACACCATGCAGGAAGCTGAGAAACTACTGGAGCGTCAAGGCGAGACAAAAACCCCTGATTCCATGTTCATGACCATGTTAGCCATAATGTCCTCTGCAGTATGTTTTCCCTGTGCAAAGGCAAAAACATATTGGGCATACGTTCCAAATCCCACAGCAGTACGACCTATACTTTGAAGTGATACTCCTCCTGGGATTTATCACGATCAGGGAGAGTGGGCTCCAGGACCCATAACTCCCCCTGACATAGAACAATTAGACTCTCAGAATACTGTCATTAATTTGAACGCTCCACTGGAAGGATTTCCTTTGTGTATCACCACAAAGACATCGCTCAACCATAGCTGTCTTACAGTTCAAGCTCAAACATGGTTGAGTCACTATGGAAAAATAATGTACTTATTAAGTCTTGGTTCTATTAATGTAACTGATGTGCTAACCAACCTTTCCTGGCCCAGTCACCCTAATTTTGCTGACTATATGGAATGGATTCCCTTCAATATTTCCTGCCCCCCTCCATGAAACCAGTGTCTTGGCCCACTGGCTAGAAAACAATCTATGTTAACTGGAGACATTGTGGATTGGGGACCTAAAGGTCAATTAGATGGAAAAGATGAAAATCAGAAATCATGGCACAAACTTCACTGGCATTGGTGGCGAGCTTTTAATACTTCTTCTTTATACAACACTGGGATCCAATCCCTGTCGGCTGCCCAGATTGCTTGTCATGGAGCAGGCTTTAGCCTGCTTCTTCCTCAATGGGATTATGTAGGGAAGAAAGGACCAATTCAAGAGACGATATGGAAGGTAGCACTCCCATTTATGAATGACAATATCTGGATTGGGATACTATCCAATAATAGCAATAGTAAGCAATGCTGTCTTAATGTTACATTTGTAAAGAATATCACTACTCAATTTACAGTTTGTGTTTTTAATCCTTATGTCTTTTTGGCAGCTAAGAAGGACCAGCTCCAGGTAAACAGTATCCAATTGACCTGTAAATCTTGCCATTTGTATCACTGCATTAATCATAGCACATTGCAAACACATAATAGCTCGACTTTGATTTTAGGTTGCATCCCTGGGCTATGGATTCTTGTTAATCTGTCCGAGCCTTGGGTTGCCACAACTACCTTGCATTTTGTGAAACTTCTAACTCAGCTTACTCATCATGTCTGTAGATCCTTAGGTATGATAATTTTTGCTATTGTTTCCTAGGTCACACTAATAACTTCTGTTGTGATGTCCTCTGTAGCTTTGCATAGTTCTATTCAAACAGCTCAGTACATGGAGAACTGGATGTGTACAGCCAAGCAAGCATGGCTACATTGAGTTACAAACTGAAGTGGCAATGTTGAAATCCATGGTTCTATGGTTAGGAGAACAAGTACAAAGCTTGCAGTTGCAGCAGCAATTGCATTGTCATTTTAACCACACTCATATTTGTGTAACAAACTTAGAATATAACCTAAGTGAGTATCCATGGGACCTTGTGAAAGCCCATTTGTAGGGAGCTTTCACATCCATCATCACCTTTGATATTGGTGAATTACAAGACAAAATTCTTGATTTAAATAGGCAAACTCAAGAATTTCAGTCTTCTTTAGAAGACTGGACTGAATTCCAGCAAGGCCCGGAGAGCCTCAACCCTTGGACCTATCTAAGGCACCACATTAACATCTTATATGTAGTTCTTAGATTAATGTTACTTTGTCTCTGTCTTCTGTTCATAGTCTGTAAAATTGGATGGACCACCAATTGGAAAACAGGTGCTGCCAAGCCTGGATTTACATTCTTTCTATTAATTTGTAAACACAAAGGGGAACATGTAGGGAGCCAAAGGCCCATGGGACATGACCAACTCAGGATTCCACTGGAGGCTATATGATCAAACAGCAAACTGTTTATCATGAATGCAGGATGTGGGCAGACTCACACTGCTCCTGCCACCAAAAAGTTTGCTCAGGGCCATCACTCCCTGGTGATCCTTGAAGTTATCTACTGGGAAATCTAGCACCTATTGTTCAAAGGATGCAGTCTCACAAGCCTGCTGTGAACCAAATGGCTGAGTGACAATTACCCAACAATCACCCCCCCTCTTTCTCATTATGTCTTTTACCTAATAAATTCGGAGGGCTGAAAAAGCTCAGGGTCCTTTTCCACTAGAGGCGGGGTGCCCCCTGACCCCTTGTTCCAAACATACTTTGGTCTTTGTCTTTCATTCCAGCGTTTGCCCCATTTGTTCAGTCCCCAAGGTCCGTGCAGGTTACAAATATCCCTGATAAACATAGATGCAAAAATCCTTAACAAAACACTAGCTAATGGAATCCAACAGCATATTAAAAACATAGTCCGTCATGATAAAGTAAGTTTCATACAAGGGAGGATGCAGGGATGGTTAAACATATGCAAGTCAATAAATGTGATACACCCCACAAAGAGAATTAAAAACAAAAATCACATGATTATCTCAATAGGTGAAGAAAAAGCATTTGACAAAAGCCAGCATCCCTTCATGATTAAAACTCTCAGCAAAAGTGGCATACAAAGGACATACCTCAATGTAATAAAAGCTATCTATGGCAAACCCACAGTCAACATAATACTGAACGGGGAAAAGTTGAAAGCATTTCCTCTGAGAACTGGAAGAAGAAAAGTATGTCCACTCTCACCACTTCTGTTCAGCATAGTACTGGAGGTCCTAGCCAGAGCAATCAGACAAGAGAAAGAAAGAAAGGGCCTCCAAATCGGTAAAGAGGAAGTCAAACTGTAACTGTTTGCTGATGATATGATCGGATACCTAGAAACCATAAAGACTTCTCCAAAATGTTCCAGGAACTGATAAATGAATTCAGCAAAGTTTCAGGATACAAAATAAATGTACACAAATCAGTAGCTCTGCTATACACCAACAGCAACCAAGCTGAGAATTAAATCAAGAACTCAACCCTTTTCACAATAGCCACAAAATAAATAAAATACTTACAAATATATATAACCAAGGAGGTGAAAGATCTCTACAAGGAAAACCACAAAATACTGCTGAAAGAAACCATAGATGACACAAACAAAGGGAAACAAATCCCATGCTCATGGATGGGTAGAATCAACATTGTGAAAAAGACAATACTGCCAAAATAAATCTACAAATATAATTTCAATTCTCATAAAAAAGCCACCATCATTCTTCACAGAACTAGAAAAAAAAAAATCCTAAAATTCACATGGAACCAAAAAAGAGCCTGCATAGCCAAAGGAAGACTAAGCAAAAAGAACAAATCTGGAGGCATCACATTCCCCAACTTCAAACTATACTGGAAGTCCATAGTCACCAAAACAGCAGGACACTCGTATAAAAACAGGCACATAGACCAATGTAAATAATAGAGAACCCAGAAATAAACCCAAATGCCTACAGTCAACTGATTTTAATCGAAGCAAACAGAAACATAAAGTGGGCAAAGGACACCCTATTCAACAAACGGTGCTGGCATAATTAGCAAGCCACATGTAGGAGAATGAAACTAGATCCTCCTCTGTCACCTTATACAAAAATCACCTCAAGATGGATCAAGGACTTAAATCCAAGACCTGAAGCTGTGAAAATTCTAAAAGATAACATCAGAAAAACTCTTTTAGGCATTGGCTTAGGCAAAGACTTCATGACCAAGAACCCAAAAGCAAACGAAACTAAAACAAAGATAAGTAAGTGGAACTTAATTAAACTAAAGAGTTCTGCACAGCAAAAGGAACAGTCATCAGAATAAACAGGCAACGGACAGAGTGGGAGGAAATCTTCACTATCTATCTATTCTAAAAGGACTAATATCCAGAATATACAAGCAACTCAAAAAAATTATCAAGAGAAAACAAATAATCCCATCAAAAAGTGGGCTAAGGACATGAATAGACAATTCTCAAGAGAAGATATACAAATGGCCAACAAACGTACAAAAATGCTCAACATCACTAATGATCAGGGAAATGCAAATCAAAGCCACAATGCAATGCCACTTTACTCCCATGAGAATGGTCATTATAAAAAAATTAAAAAATAATAGATGTTGGCATGGATGCAGTAAAAAGGGAAACACTTCTACACTGCTAGTGGGAATGTAAATGAGTACAATCACTATGGAAAATAGTGTAGAGATTCCTTAAAAAATTGAAGTAGGACTAACATTCCATCCAGCAATCCCACTACTGGGTATCTACCCAGAAGAAAAAAAAGTCATTTTACAAAGAAGTTATTTGCATGCGCATGTTTATAGCAGCACAATTCGCAATTGCAAAAAATATGAAACCAGCCCAAATGCCCATCAATGAATGCATAAATAAACTATGGTGTATATATACAACAGAATATTACTCTGCCATAAAAAGAAATGAATTAATGGAATTTGCAGCAACCTGGATGGAATTGGAGACCAACATTCTAAGTGAAGTAACTCAGGAATGGAAAACCAAACATTGTATGTTCTCATTCATAAGTGGGAGCTAAGCTATGGGGATGCAAAGGCATAAGAATGATACAATGGAGTCTGGGGACAATGGAGTCTGGGGAAAGAGTTGGAGTGGGGCATAAATGATAAAATACTACAAATTGGGTTAAGTGTTTACTGCTTGGGTGATGGGTGCACCAAAATCTCACAAATCACCACTAAAGAACTTACTCATGTAATGAACCACCACCTGTTCCCCCAAAACCTATGAAAATAAAAAAATTATTAAAGAAATTAAATGTCACACTTTGGGTCACCTAGAAAATTCGAATATTGGGGACATATAAACCATGCAATACTACCTAGCCATAAAAAGGAATGAGGTCATGTCCTTTGTAGCAATGTGGATTGAGCTGGGGGCCATTATCCTAAGCAAGCTAACGTAGGAACAGAAAACCAAATACTGCATGTTCTCCCTTATAAGTGGGAGCTAAACACTGAGTAGAGATGGACACAAAGAAGGGAACTATAGACACTGTGGCATACTTGAGAGTGGAGGGTGAGCGGAGGGAGAGGATTAACAAAGTACCTATTCAGTACTATGCTTATTACCTCGGTGATGAAATAATTTGCACACCAAACCCCTATGACATATAGTTTACCTGTATTACAAACTTACACATATACCTCTGAACCTAAAATGAAAGTTATAAAAAAACCCACAAAAGCATGAGCCACAAATATAAAAAAAAAGATTAATTCAGCCTCATCAAAATTAGAACCACTTATGCTTGAAAGCACACTCTCAAGAAACTGAAAGGCAAACCCATAGATAGGGAGAAAGTATTTGCCTCTCATGTAGCTGATGTGGGACTTGTATAAAATATACATAAAGAATTCTTATAATTCACCAAAAATAAGTAAATCATCTGAACAGATATTTCTCCAAGGAAGATACACAAATAGCCAATAAGTTCAGAACATTTTGCTTAGCGTCATTAGTCATCAGGGAAATTCAAAGTAAAACACAATAAGGTAACACATCAAACACACTAAAATGGTAAGAACGTAAAAGTCTAATAACAGTTGTTGAACATTTAGAGAAATTGGACTCTTCATATACCGCATGTGGGAACATAAATTTTCACAGTCACTTTGATAAGCACTCTGGAATTCCTCAAACAGACATAGAATTACCATATGGTCCAGCAATTTCTCCCTTGGTATAAGCCTAAAAGAAATGAAAAAAAAAAAAAAACTAAATAAAAACATTTATACAAATATTTATAGCAGCATTAGTCATAATTGTCCAAAGGTGAATACAGCCCAAATATCTATGGAGGGATAAATGAATGAACAAAATTGTATATATCCATATGCTCAGCCATAAAAATGAATGATGAGCATGCTACAAGCATGGATAAATTTTGAAAACATTATGCTAATTGAAAGAAGCCAGTCACAAAGGACCAAATATTATACAATTCCATTTACATAAAATGTTCACAATAGGCAGATATATAGGAACAAAAAGTAAATTAGTGGTTGCTTAGGGCAGGAAGGATGGGAGCATTGGGGAAATGATAGCTAAAGTTTAGGGATTCCTTTATGAAGTAATGAAAATGTTATAAATTTACTGTGACGACGGTTAATTGTATACTTTAAATTAGTGAATCATATTCTATGTGAGTTACATCTTAATAAAGCTATTTTTAAAATATCTGGTGCTTCTGTATGGTAGGGAGCATGGACAGTCCATGAATACCTTCACTGTTAAGCCATTGTTGAATGGCTTTCGTGATGCAAGATGCACCATTTCCAACTGCAAATGGTCCAGGAAAATAAAAACATGACACATGGTTTCTTCAGGGACCATAATGTTGTGTCAGTGCTGGATAATTGGATTGGAACAGCAGCATTATTAATCTGAAAAATGGTCAACAGTGGTAAGGCACTGCCAATAACCCATAGAGGAGATAAAAAAATTCATTGTCATCAAGGTGCCAAGTACAGTGGTGTCAGGAGCAAAACTTTATGCAATGTGGCCACTCTCACTGGCAGATAAGATTTGGAAGGCCAGAAGTCTGGCATGCAATGTTAGCCTCCACAACAGAAACAATCCTGTACTTTGATCCTGTTTATGAAGGTGGATGTGTTGCCAAATCCAGTAGAATTATGGATTCAGTTAGAAATTGAAGCAACTTAAGTGGTTCATGCTCATTCTGGAGCTTGATTTCAGTGTCATCAGATCATGGTCTCTTATGTGGTCATCATCTACATGAGTAAATCAGATACATTAAGCAGGGGCAGCAGCAGGAACAATTTCTTTCTTTAGTTGCAGGCCCAAAGAGAGGTGTCTTTAGTCTGCAATTTTGTAGTTTTCCAAGTGGCAACCCAAACAAGTAGGTCATTGTCAATATCCTATGAGTCAGTAAAAGTATAACAAACTTCATCTAGTGGAGGATAACCCAGATCTATGAAAATGGCTTTGCATTCTGGTCACTGAGGAGAGGATCCATTATCTTTCAATTTTGCATAGTTAGCGGTAAGATTGAACATATGCAGCAGCCCAGTGGACATCAGCAGGTTTCAGCTTATCTGAACTGTCAGTGAACCAGGCCCACACATTTAGTTGAACCTCTGTGAGTCAAGGGCCTCATTTAGCCAGCTGCTTTACTTCAGGTGGAGAGTAGGGAATAGAGTTTCATTGAAAAGGGGTAATAGCCACTTTTTCAGGTAAAGCCTATATGCTGCTCGGGTGAGGCCAAGTAAGTTTTAATATGCAATTTACCTTTCACAAGCAAGGCTTGCTGAGCTCTTCTCACCATTTCATATTAAGTTGAAATTGATCAACCCCAAACAGGAATGTCAGGCTGAAGAGGTGCAAGGCTGACCTCCATGGTTCAGGTGTTCAGTTCTGAAATGAGCCCAGTAGCAAAATGTATTAGTCAATTCTCACACTGCTATGAAGAAATACCCAAGTCTGGGTAATTTATAAAGAAAAGAGGTTTAGCCGGGCGCGGTGGCTCAAGCCTGTAATCCCAGCACTTTGAGAGGCCGAGATGGGTGGATCATGAGGTCAGGAGATCAAGACCATCCTGGCTAACACGGTGAAACCCCGTCTCTACTAAAAAATACAAAATATTAGCCGGGCGTGGTGGCGGGCGCCTGTAGTCCCAGCTACTCGGGAAGCTGAGGGAGGAGAATGGCGTGAACCCGGGAGTCGGAGCTTGCAGTGAGCTGAGATCCGGCCACTGCACTCCAGCCTGGGCGACAGAGCGAGATTCCGTCTCAAAAAAAAAAAAAAAAAAAAAAAAAAAAAAAAGAAAGAAAGAGAAGAGGTTTAATTGACTCAGTTCTGCATGACTGGGAAGGCCTCAGGAAACAATAATGGTGCCTTCTTCACAGGATGGCAGGAAGAAGAAGCGCAAGCAGGGAAAATGCCAGATGCTTATAAAACCATCAGATCTCATGAGACTCACTCATTATCACAAAAACAGCATGGGAGAAACCACCCCCAGGATTCAGTTACCTCCACCTGGTCCCACCCTTGACACATGAGGATTACGGGGATCACAATTCAAGGTGAGATTCAGGTGGGGACACAAAGACAAAACATGTCACAGGTAATAGCTGCTTTTCAAAAGGGGGGATTGCACTGGGAGTTATACCTGATGTAAATGACGAGTTGATGGGTGCTGACGAGTTGATGGCTGCAGCACACCAACATGGCACAAGTATACATATGTAACAAACCTGCACGTTTGCACGTGTACCCTAGAACTCAAAGTATAAAAAAAAAAAAAAAAAAAAGTGGTATATCTGGCAGTCTTGTCAGGAAGTAGAGGAGTCCAAAACCCCAAGACATATCTCCAGGTGAAGATTGCTTCCCATTTCCAGAAATAGCAATTGTAAAATCATCAGTTACAGGTACTTATATAGCTCAAAGTTATCATTACAATTGTAGGGCTCCAAAGGTAGAGAACATGACACAACTTACTGGACTATTTCCATGGCAGAACTTCATTTCAGGCTTTACTCAAAAGATGCTGATTTGTGGGTTAGCTAATATAAAGGACCAAGCAGAATGTCCAAGCAATCACAAAGCATTTCCAATATCCAAAGAATCTAGTTAGTTGCTGAAACTCCTTTTTGGTGGTGGGGGTGCTGAAGAGACAATTTTTCTTTGCCTGAGGTTTTATTGTGAATTTTCCTACATACTTCCAGGAAACATTACTGGCAAGCAAGAGACATTACTGGCAAACAACATCACTCCTGAATTTTGGCGGTGATTTTCAATATTAATTCTGATTTTTTTTTTTTTTTTGGAGACTTTCAGTCATTCTTCCTAGAGGATGTGTAATAATACCACAGCTAGGTAGGGCTATTGAGACTGAGACTTCTTACTGCCAACCATCAGGACATCATGTATAGTGAAACTTTTGGAAATCTGAATGAAGAAGAACTTGCCCCAAATTCTAACCTATTCAATTTTGGCAAATGGCACTGGAGTTTAGGTAACACTGGCGGAGTACAACAAACATGTATTAGAGGCCTTGTCACATGAATGTGAACAGATCTTAATTCTCAGATGCTAGTATGGGAAAGAAACTGTTGTCAATGTTTAAAACAGTGCACCATGTTCTATTAGTCTGTGTCTTAGATTCGTATAGAATCAAGATGTCTGCAACAGCTGGGGCCATTGGAGAAACAACTGAATTTATTTGAAAATATTCCACTATCAGTCTTCATCTCCTGTTAGATTTTGCACTGGGCATACAAGGCTGTTCTGTAAAGATCCTGCATCTCTTACTACTGCCTCCTATAGGTACTAATATTTATTCAGGGCACAGATTTTCTTTTTTCTTCCTAGAATTCTATGCTTTGTGTTGGATCAGAAAGAACAGAATGTGGGAGAGACAGGAAAGCTGGTGACAGATAAATTTATGTGTCCCACTAGTACTTATCTATGTATAGCTGAATTTCATCTGGCACTTATGAAACAGGGAAATACAAGCATCAGTTCCCAGTGATATTCAGATGTGAAGGTAGCAGCATCAGTATGCTGAATTAGCCTAAAAAGTTTTGTTCACAAGGTCATACTGGCTTCTTTCTTTCTCCTGCTGCAAACCTGGCCAAACCCTATTATATAATTTGGGATGCTTTCTCCTTCCAGGAGTCCAGTAGAAGAGTTTACTTGGGCATCCATATCTAACAGAGCCATAAAAGCTTGATTCTTTCCTTCATGAAAATTCTCTAACCTACTAAGATGGATGCATATGGAACTTGATCTCCATTAAAGACAGAGATCACTTGCCCCGTTTCTAATGATTTTTCTCTCTATGGCAGCTGTGCCTGAGAAAGTAGAGACAGAGCTGCACCGTACCATTAGCAAGGCTTAGCATTTACTTTCGATTCTGTGTGGCATAATGGCTGCTTGTGTCTCAAAACAATAAACTTCCAATGTTTTTGGCTGACTCAATTCTCAATATCAGGCAACAAAGTCCTACATAATAACTAGGGGAGTTATCCAGAGGGGCAAAGCTAATAACAATAATTTATCAATGAGTCTCAGGGTCGGTTTCTCATTCTTAGAGATCACTTCCTTAGTATTCTATACCCAATCTAGGCATTGAGTATAGAGCCCAATTCTGTCATCTATGGTTTTCACTGGGAATTTGTTTCTCTTAAGAAAATCTTCAAAAGAAGACTGGAAAATGTCATGCTGTCCTTGATTGATATTTATCTTCTACACAGTATTATTAAATAGGAAAACATGCAGGGTATACCTGAAAACAGCCAGATCCAACTAATTTTCACCATATCTACTACCACCAGGATACTGAAACCCACCTTAAATAGGAAAACATGGTAAAGAAAACAGCCAGATCCAACTAGACTTCTTTCTCACCATATCTACTACCACCCAGGATACTGAAACCACCATTATCGGTTACCAAAATAATTAAATATCCTACTACCTATTTCTTTATTAACATATATACACTAATAAAACTATTCTCCGTTATTGGGAGTGATCCTGTAAAATCCAAGATAAATCTTGTCTCTCCATCATCAACAATAATATGGTATGGATGGGTTCCACTACATTCCATGTAAAAGCCAAATTGCATTTTGAAACCTACAGGCTGGTAAGCTTCTTCGGTCTCGCCTCTCTCTCATCCCACACTTCTGAAACCAGCTCCTGCTTTTCTCTGCCGGCCCACTCAGCTCCAGACATGATAGCATCCTCCCCTTGCCCTCAAACATGCCACAGCTCTAAATCCAACCTGTTGTCGGGGCCTCAGCACCTGCTGTCCTTCCATCTGGAATGCCCCTTCCCAGACAGCTACAGGGCCCAAGCTCTCCCACCGCCTCTCAGGTGAGATTCAAAAGCCAAGTTCTCAAAGGGCCTCCTCCTGACACCTTATCTAGTTTCCCAGCCTCCCCTCCTGATCTTCTATCCCAATTCCTTGCTTTATGTTTTTCTATTTAACACTAGTCACTATGAATATACATTATAATTGCTTATTCATTTTGGCTACTGTCTATCCCACACCGTTCTTGAAAAAGCTCCATGAGGGATAAGTAATTTAGTTTGCTTTCATTCATTATTACATCAATATCTGTGCCTAGAAGTGCCTGCAGAGCCCACCTAAAGTAAGTATTTGGGGGTAAATAAACAAGTAAATTAAAGTATAAAATGGGATCAAAGCAACAAAGGCAGTGTTTCCTAGGGGTGTAGCCCCAGTCATGCAAAACGCCCAGGAACTGTGCATTAGAGTGAAGCAGGCCAGCTGGGGGTGTGGCCAACTGGCATTCGAGTCTACACTGGACTGGGACCCACCTGTGCATACAGCCGTATGCATCCTTGCTGGAATGAGGGCCCCAACTCACGCTTTTGTTGCTGTTGTTGTTTGTTGTTCTGTTTGCCTCTGAGAGATGCCAGAAACATAAATTTTCATTGTGTGAAATCAAATGTCTAAAAAAATAATTAAAAACAGAAACAATGAAAACACAAAGATGAAACAAACGGCAGCTGACTGAGATCGTCCCTGGGTGCAGTCAGCTGGTATTTGTTGGACTGAATTGTAGTGATGTATAAGGAAATTAATCCCCTCACATGTGAGGTAGGCTTGCTTTGTGTAATTTTAAAAGCCAGCCTCAGGCCATGTTGGGTAAGAGAACAAACTCTATTTACCCATCTTCTTTTCAACTCCCAGCTCCTTGCATCTCCAATTATGCATGGAGTTAGGTGGGCAGGGGGTCACCAGCACTCTTCTTTGGGGTCAGAGGCATAATTTAGTGAAGGTGGCTGGGTAAACCAGTGAGAGGGTTTCTGGGGATGGGCTACAGGAGAAAGGGGAAAGGCAAGGAGGGAGTGGAAAGAGAAATACACAGATCTATCTTTGCATCAGACACCATAGTTCTGAGGGACTTTAGTTGCTGCTCCTCCCTCCACCAAACCTTGACACCTCTTGCAGGACACTGTACAGCTGAATGAGTTAAGTACCCAAGTCACCAACTTCCAGCCCAACTGCCCCATGCATCTACAGGCCTACCTGGTGAAGGTCAGAGAGATTCATGACCCCCTACTGCAGATTTCTGTGAGCTTGCAGGGGCAAGTGATTCGGGCCAAACATGCCCAGGGCATGCAGACACCAGCTTTGTGGGGAAGGTCTAACCAGAATGTGGGACTAGTCAGGACAGCAGGCCTCTTTATAGTGGATTATTGGTCGGAACCACCTGGTGGCTTCAGGCAGCTGCGCAAAGTGTGGACAGTGAGGCACTCCCCATAACCCGAGAGAGAAACACTAGGCTCAACTGATACCCCTGGTCTTCTAAGAAGTGCCCAAACATTCAGGCAGGAAGTGAACCAGGTGCATTTGCGAGACTGCTGCACCTGAGTTCAGTAAG